GTAGGATAGCCGGGTCTTTGTTTGAAATATCAAATATTTATTTTCTTAAATAACGCAGAAGCCTGGTAGAGGGGCGGATCGCCAGCGTTTTTTGCCTTAATAAATTATCAGCGATTATTGGGCGCGTTTGCCTAAGCGGGGTGGTTTCTTCTTTTTCCTCGCTCTTTCCGCGAGAGCACTTTCCTACGGCCTTGACGATACCTCCTCGGTGGCTAAGTCAGGCCGAAATCGATCTAGCTGAATTTCTGGCTGAAATATATGTACGCTCGAGTGTTTTCGCGGTTTTCCGTCCTGAGTACATCAAACAGACGCCTACGATTCGGGCGCAGGGAGGGAGGAGCTCACAGTAGAAAGAATAGTATAATAGTTGCACACGCGTTAAACACGTTTCGTTTCAGTAAAATATACCGTTTATACATAATGAAAACATTTCATATAGAAAAGCCGAATTTAAGCTTTTGCTAGAACGCAGAAGATTTAATTTTACAGTCGGGTTCACCATTTTTTAATTATCATCCAGCGCACAGAGGATTGACACGGAATGTGTGTATTTTCGGGGCGAGCCGGAGAAATGTTCAAATCCATCGGTTAATGTCTTGTCTCGTCCACTAATTATTCACGAGGCAGTCGCGCGCTGCTTGGCCGCTCGAGAAAGCCTCATCGAAGTGCAAAAGGGTACACGTTACGCAAAGGGTAGCGCGGAGAACGAGGAAGGGTGTGCTCTTTGACACGGCATTGATGCAATATTAATGTAAGCGAGCAAAATTCAAAGGACATACGTCCTTCGTAACGAGTTCTCGTTCACGCGCTCGTAAACACGCATTGCGACGTGCAGACGCGCGAGAATAAACCGAGCAACAAGCGACACCCGAATAAAGCAAAGGAAGACGCGCGAATAATTGATTCTTCCGATTGAGCCGACACAGAAGACTTGAATCTCGGAGCAGTCAAGACTACGCGCGAAAATACGAGGTCGCTTAAAGTTTTTTGAAACCATACACGGAAAAAAGGAATTAACTGTCCATATAATACAACTGAAATTTAGTTACCAGACCTAAGTTTTGGCTGTGAGAGCTGAAAACTAGGTACAGGGACAAAAAGAATGAGCTAAATTAACTAAAATTCAGTTGTATTATATGAACAGCTAATTTCCACCTGAGAGCTAATTCTTCCTTTTCCTGTATTTAGTTTTTAGCTCTCAAAGCTAAAAACTAGGTTTGGTAACTAAATTTCAATTGTATTATACGTACAGTTAATTCCTTCTTTACGCGTCCCCGGTTTCAAGAGCTTTGTATTCATATCTCTCTCGTACATGACGTGAATTAATCTGCCATCGTATCTTGCTTATTGGGATACACTCTCAGCTCTATCCTCCTTTACTTCACGCTGACTTGATTTTCCAAGTGTTTTGAGGGCTTTCCGTTCGGCGATGCAAAATAAGCACGAAAACAAACGTTATGACCCCGCCTGACGAGAGAGGGAGGGAGGGAGGATGGAGGGAGGAAACGGCGATGCGCGTGTACAACATGTGCGCGCAGGTACACGCGTGCGGTCTGGGAAAACGAGCGCCAAAGTGCCGGATGAAAACCGTGGAAAAACTCAGCGCTGCGTATATAGAGCGCGTTTTGCCGCGAGCGGATTTTCCGACGAGAGGGTCGGAGGTGCCGCGAAAGAGGGTAGCGAGGAGGGGTCGGCCGCGAGAGAGACGACAACGTAGACGACGTTGACGACGACGACGACGACGAGGACGACGAGGACGATAGAGGAACTAAAAGGCACTTCTAATGGCATTGTGCGCGTTCAAACAAACACATGGAATGCTTAGCAGTTTTTAAAATTGCGGGAAAGCCCTCGCTCGCGCGCTTTTCTCCATTTCCCTCTTCTTCTCGCTCCTCCCGTTTTCCGCCTAGGTGCGCGGAGATATTAGCGTGTCGTTAATGTTGGATTGCGCGATTCACGCTGTAATAGCGGCTAATTGAGCCAGATGCAACTGTTTCGGATGTTTGCAAAATCTGATATTGTTTATGACATTAATACATGTGAAAGATTCATGTATATACTTTAGGATGCATGGAATAACGTCGAGTGACAAACGTAACATAAAGTACGGCATAAACGTGGCGAATCCCGGTATTCTTTTTCGACTTAGTAAAATAAATACGAAAAACGTTAAATAAAAACATTTGGCGATTAAGGGGAATACGGATAAATACGAAAATTGCACGTAACAACGCTTGCGTCCTGTTCTTTGCGTCGACTTTTGTACATAGAACGCTACCATACAGACTTTTCATTAATGCCTGAATGAATAAATGCCACCGTGCCCCTCCTCTGAATTCTTAATGCAGCAAGCTCGCTGAAAGTACTCCCGGGCCTTCAAAATATCTTTAAGAAGTTTAAAGTCTTCCCTCGATAGCATGTAAATATTGCATGTAAAGCGCGACATCAAAGGGATTCTTCTACGGTATAATGCCTTAAATTTCGGCACAAGGAGAGATTAAGCAACAACGGGAGGAGATAAACAATCTTAAGATGTCTATCCCTTTGCTGAAAATGCGTCCGTCTTATACATTCGCAAACAATTTACATCTTTTAAAAAGATTCGCATCGTTTTACGCGATTAAAGATATTTGTCAATTTGTAAAATCAAAGGAAATATCCAAGACGAAAATTAAATATATGTTCATAACAAAATATTCCGTTCTTACAATGATAAAAGTTAAAATCGATGTTAAAAATGACAAATAAGTATGCTCAATATATCCAATTATAAAATAAATTTAGAATCGAACAGTTCCGCCAATACGGTGTGATTAAAGTTCTGTAGTAACGCAATATCTCGGAAAAAATCAAACAACGCAAGTTCGTTGCATAGTTTTTGAAGTATCTGAGGTTATACAGGATCGCTCGGGCTACACGCATAATCGTCCCGGGTACCTGGGTAATGTTCAGACGTATCACAGTAAAGGAAAGGTCGTCGGCGAAAGGACGACGAAGAGAGGACATCGTTCGTCTAGCAAGAAGCGAGTTCGACGCTCACCAAAGAGACCGCAGAATCTGTACTGGCCTCTCCGACAGGACGTTCCTGGAAACTTTGTTACATTTTTGGTCGAGTCCGCATACGCGATACGCGTTGGACAAGTAAGTGAATCAAAGGGACACACACGGGAGGATTTCGGATGATAGAAGGAAGACAGACAGAGAGAGAGAGAGAGAGAAAAACGCGCTGAAAATTGGTGGACTTTCCTATTGCTCTATCTTTGAGTGCTTCGCCGAGCTTTCTTTCGATGCCACGGCGAAAAAACCTTTCTCGAGTTCTTCAGGAACAAAGAGAATATGGAGCGAGTGTGGCTGGTAGCGTACAGAATGAAAAATAGGTATAAAAATACGAAAGTGATAACGAGAAGAGATTTAAGTTGGATATAAATATGCGCAAAATTTGTCCACAATGGTTATGAATGAAAAGGGTAAACTTACGATGTCATTTCTCTCTTACGCCTTATTGACACATTTTAATACGTTTTTTATATTCTGTAAATAAAAATCTCTATCGTACTTTGTTTCAAAAGGATAATTTTTATGTCGGATACGTAAAGAAAGTGTTTCATCTTTAGCAGATATTTGACTTTCTGTATCGTTTAATATTCATATTTAAGCATCATCGAACGTTATAACTTTTTTCTCTCGTGGCGAAAAACTTTGAATATTCCAAAAAGAAAATGGAAAATAATTAGAATTTCATAGTGGGAGACCAGCTTGTGGCAACAGAGCGTCAAAGTCGTGCATTGTGCTTGAAAACGTGACGATAGCGTGCATGTATTTCTTATGGGAAAAACGAATTGTACGCTGCGTCTAGTAGAAGAGAGAAAGAAAGAGAGAGAGAGAGAGGGGGGAGGAGTGCAAAATACAGGGAAATGGAAGAAAGAGAGACGGATCGAGGAAGAGAGTAAACGTGGACAAAGAGAGAAAACGAGAGGCTTCAACGTGAGTCGCTCGCGCTAAAACCACGTTTAAAACAAAGGGTGCCGCCGGCGAATTAAGAACGATATTTTAACGCTCGACTTAATTGCATTAAATTGCAAGTGAGAAAGAGAGTGAACGACGAAGAGAACTATGAAGAAAAAAATGTAGAACCGAGTGAATAAAGCTAAAAGAGACGAAGAGTGGCGACGATTTCTAGGGACGGGGAAGGTGGCCGTTTTATTTCGTGATTGAGTATAATTAGTTACATATCCTACTTTCCAAGTATTCCTTACTTTGAATAAATGAGAAAAACAAAAAATAATATAATTTTTACTATCGAACATTTCTACTAAAATTTTCAGATTTTCAAAATTATTATCAGTTATACAGATTGAAGATAGATACATCTAAAGAAAAAGATAACACATTTTTCCTCTTTCCCTAACTTCGAGTATAATTTTTTATTTTTGAAAAAAAAATTATATTCCTAATTGGTAATTATTATTAGGTTATTAAAAAACATCCTTGGTTGTGCATATAATCGTATATAATAAAGGAAAAAGTGTACATATATTTGCATTTTTTTAAGAAAACATATGTTTATGAGATTATTTATTCTTTATTGTTGATAATAATAACAATCTTAAGTATTTGACATAGCAGTAATAATAGCACAATAATTAATTAATTGTATTGTATGTGCATGTAATTAATTTATGACATATTTGCCCGCATAATTATATTTTCCAAATATATTCTCCGAATCTAGAACCACGTTTTATCTGTAAGTCAAGAAAATAGCAAACATCTATGTAAACAAAAATCCACAAATATACAGCGAAAGATTACTGTATAACAAGTATAATAATTATATAATAGTCGATACTATATATACGAATTGATTTATAATAATATCGCGTCTTGTGCAATTTGTTATACTTCTACTTTCTTCGAAAAATAATACTTTCTTCGAAATCCGCTTCCATTATTGTATCTCTTAACAAATTGAGATCAAGCAGTGAAACATGTAACTTTATCTAACAAATATTTTCATCGAAAGGTAAGTTCGATGTTTTACAAGCTGATTCCTCAGTTTTGCAAACTAAATCCTCGTCCCTAGTTGAATTTTCAATTGTACAAATTATATTCTCGGCACAAGCTATATTCTCCGTTTTGCGATCTATATTCTTAATAGAAACTTCGGTCTCGAGAGCAGCCGCGCTCATAGAAGCGTTCGATGGATCGCCATGCGTTTTCTGGTGATTTTCTAGCGTGAGAATTTTCCTAAAGTACTTGCCGCATTTTTCGCAGTAAAGATTATATTTTTCGTGACTCTTCCGGTGTTTGTTCAGCAGGTCTTTGCGCGTGAAGGTCCTGTTGCAGATCGTGCAAGGGAACTTATCGGGGTTCAGATGTAACACATTGTGTCTCGTCAAATTGTCCAATCTCGTATACTTCCTCGTACAAATGTCACAGGTGAATTTGGTCCTCTCAGAGTGACATCTCCGATGGTACTTCAAGTACCTCTTCTCGGCAAAAGTCTTCTTGCAGGCGCAACAGGCGATCTGATTGCTATCGTTCTTCTTCACGTCCATATGACTCGTCAATTCCTCGCACGTCGTGAAATCCTCCTTACAGAAGATGCAGACGAACTTCTTCAGCTGCTTGTTTCTCTGTATGTTCTCCAGGAAGTTCGGATCGGTCATAATCTTGTAGAGGAACGTGTCCTTCAACTTATCATCTGGCTCAACGGAGGTACCTGACGCAGTTTTATCGACGCGATTGGAAGCGTCTTTAGTTGATAGATTCACAACTTCTGTGTTATTATTGTTATCGTTCGTGTGCGATGATGATACGCTGGTGGATGAGGACAAGGTCAGTTCGCTGCTCGAACTACTGGACATTGTACCAGGAATGAGAATCGCTGAAGGTGACTCGTATGCCTATTGTATAAGACACGTCTTAATATTCGGAAAATTAAGCTAACATACGTTATTCGGAATTATACACCATATTTCCGTGTTTAATACGTAAGGTATTTTATAACTTATTCGCACGAACGTTGTTCTTGATTAATTATCAAAAGATATATTTTATAAAGAATTCTGTCTAATTACAAATTGACCGTACGGCATTTCATTCTATTTTTATTGAATTTTTAATTATAATTAACAATGTAGAAATTTTGTTAAAGGAAAACCTGAAAAATGTCGTGTAATTGCTCACCTGATTATATAAATTTTGACCATTCATCGTATACACTGAATCACGACTCTTTTTTAGATCAGTGACAGTTTCCGCGTCTGTAGAGGTTTCTACTGCAGTTGCAACTCTCGTATTTCTTTGGAGTATTCTGTGCCTTGGGACTGTTTTAACCCTCATATTTGTACTACAGATATTACACAGAAAATATGGTGCGAATAATTTCTTACATGACGATCATAATTACTAGTTTTACGATAAGCTGACAAATATTGGATCTTACATGAAATATGATGAGAAAGTGACTTATAGCCTAATAATACGTGTAATAAAAGTCAGTTTAAGATAATAGTGACATTTTTGGGATAATTAATTTAACATTTAATAGAAAGTTAAGTGTTAAGTGTAAGTATTGAATACCTAGAATTATTTTGTGAACATTCGATAATTTAGTAAACTCTTACTTGTGTTCGCACAAGATACGTCGGCGAAGATATTTGACGATTAGACGTCAGTTTCTCGTTGTTTCAGGTGCACTAAACACTTCGAAACCGCTTCTCACTGATTCACGAAATCTTCGTGCCGCGACATGTGCTACACGAAATAGCGATCGCAACTGACAAGACTGTCGCACCTAGTTCGGTATTAGTCGCCGTTCGATCGTCCTCAGCGCGACTTTCATGATCCGTATGACAACAAGAGCCCTAGCGGAGTCGCGCGAATGAAAATCTGAGTTTGCAAACATAAGTATAGTGTTGGCCGGAACGGATTACGACGGAGGCCGCATCCTTCAGTATTCCAGTTCATTTTGTATATATATATATTCGTATTATATATATATATATTATACATACTTGGCGCGAGATGTTCGAATCTATATCTTGCAAGATTTCGAACCGTGAAAGATTTCCTCAGCACGAGAATTGATTTTGATGACATTATGCGCGTACATTAATTTCAATACAACTGCGATACAACTGCGGTAATAAAAATATAACAATTACTGAAATTCAAATATATCTCAAATTCTTACTTACAATATTATTCATCGCGACTATGTATATTTATTTAATTATTCATTGAAACGGGAAGTATCCTTTGATTTACCAATAAAGTGAAAGAAAAAGAAAAAAGGTAAATAAAAATAACAGCTAAATTTTTAAACACTGGTATAAATATTTTATAATATTATTAAAAATAAGTAAACAGTCGCGATAAAAAAAAAATCAAGATAAGGTTAGAAATCAGGCAACATCCGAAGGCACTACTTGATTGTAGCGCATGCATAACGCACGATGGAAGAGAGACGGGGGGCGTCTAATTTTCTTTCAGATATATTTTTATAACCCATTTTCTCATTCATGTTCTCTCGGCGGAGAAAGAATAGCGCCGTCGCATCGAACGGAGTAAATCGACACGGCGCTAAAAACAGAAAGACCAAGCGTCGAGATAAAAGAGCGAGGGTAAAAAAAAAAAGAGCGATGGGGTCAAGCATAAAATTGGCGAAAAAAAAATTCTCGCTGTTTGGTACGATGTCCCCGTAGCTATCCTTGCACAGCCCCGGTCGTTAATACAGCATAAGGAGGAGCCAGGGTTAAGCGAGGGTGAAGCGAGGATTTTTAATTGTAGTTCGCTCGATATAACCCCGCTCGACCCGTCGGTATTGTCATACCGGGGCGGCGCTTTTCTTTATTTCCCCAGTGGCTGGATGAGGTTATACATTTTTTTTTAAACTACGGCAATGCCTCCGTCTTCTTATTAGCAAAGCTAATTGGAAATACAAATGGTTATTCACGGTAAGAAGGAGAAGGTTGTGCCGAAGAGCGACTGCGGAGTAGCGGTGGCGGCTCGTAGATAGAGAGTGAAAGAGAAGAGAGAGAAAGGGGGGAGGGGGAGGGAAGAGAGAGAAAGAGAGAGCGGTCGGGGGGCGAAAGGAGAGGTGATGGTACACTTCTGCGTATTAAGGTTGTATTTGCTTCGGATAATTAGGACTTTTTCCCGGCCAATTGGGATGAATAATTGATTTTTCTGCTCCCTGCGCCACCGTACGGCTGTCGCTCTTGGACCTCTTCGAATGACAATCACCCGGAGAAAAATACGGATCTTTCGGATGAAATATTCAATGTCTCGCGTGGTATTATGCGTCGAGGGGGACGTGGGGTGAGAAAAGCGGCTTCGAATACCACGGGTAGCGATAATAACGGCAGGTCGAGCCGACTTGAACTTTGAATGATCGATGTTCCGTTCGAATAATTCAGCACACTTTAATTAGTATAACACCAAAATAGTTATTGTATTTCTGGACGAGATGCTTTAAGCGACTCTGTGCGACGTCAAAATCTTTCATTTTTCGCCGCGACTTTCAGCGAGATGAGGCGAGGGAAGGGTGATGTGCGCCGTCTAAGCGTGGCGAAATTCGTCAGCGCGCGTCTTCTATCCTCCTTCGGTTTGTTTTCCGCAATTTTGTTAGCAACAAGACAGCCGTCGAACGTCTCACGAGACGTTTTGACACCCAGTACATCACGCCCATTTCCTTCATCTACTTATATTACGTATACAATATCTGTGTATCGAAGCTGGTTGATCCCGGTAGGTTCCCTCCCTTGGCACGAGGCCATACATCACACCACCTTCTTTATTAAACTCATATTTTTCAAAAAGTCTCACCTTCGCTATCTGGAGCGCCTCCTCTCGCTCGCAACTCGGAAATCAGCCCGGGGAGAACGAAAAATTCATTTGGCTCTCGAGGATAAGATGGATATGAAAATTTTTATGCTAAAGGTGATTTACGTTCGCGCGTCGCGCCACCGATATGACTCTCGACTAGAATTTTATCATAAATGATGTATCCCCCGTAGATAATAGGTAAATATCCCGGCGTCTTTGTTCAATGTAACTTAGCGCGGAGAAGCGTGTTGGATGAGCACACGGGGCGTACGTGTGATGTAAATTGCATAACTGACAGAATACAAAGTCCGAATTGCGAAAGTGTCGCGCCAAGTTCGGACATTCGGCGGCTAGTCTCTCTCGTTCAGTCACTCACTCGCTCACTCACTCACTCACTCTCGCTCTCTCCTCTCCAGCATCGACTGGCGTTGACAAATTTTTGCAGCGAAATAAATTTTCCGCCGCGAGAGAGATACAAGGGGGAGGAGGAGGGCAGGGACGAAAGGCAGAACGACGCCGGGTCCTTTAACGAGTCGCGCTTCCGAGGGCTATATCGTGCGACGAGTTCGTTATCTCTTCGTAGCACCGGAAAGTTAGACCACTTTCCTTCGACGCGCGGAGGAGAGATTGGCCGTTTGGCGGGCATAAAGAAGAAAGCCACCCCCTTCAGTTTGCCTTCCAGCTCACCCTTCGCCGCTCCCGCCGGTCGCGCCCTCACGACCCAAAACCGCGGACGGTTATAAAGCATTCTTCCAGTTTATTAGACGGAGACTCGCGGGCCTCTCTTTATATTAAGCATGTGCATTATTAATGCGCCGGTATAACCGTAAAATGCTGATGAAAAAAAGTTACCGAGCCCCGCGGGTGTTTCTTCTGCGGCGAAAAAAGGAACGGGCTCCTCCGAGATTGCTGCCGCGCTCGGGCTCTTCGCTGAGTGACTCTTCGACTCGTTAGGCGCTAAGTCGTGTGAAATTTCAAGCTCGGCAGCCTCGTCGAACGAGTTAACCGCGATGCGCAAGTGTATATGCGGGAACAAACGTGAAACGACCGGTACAATCATAGGCGGACTGAGAATTCGCGTGTAACAACTCCGACGGATCCGACAGTCTCGCGGCATTAAGGAGCGAGTTCTCAAGTGAGAGACGAAAATTTCTATCCTGCGGATAACATCTTCGGCGTGATGGGACGCTTCCGACCAATCGGAGATGTCCTCCCCCCCCCCCGCGTCGCGTTCGATACAGACGACAGCCGGTCGGTCTGTTCCTTTTTTCGCTCGGGATAGAAGACGGTCTCACGCAATAAAGCAGCGCAGCAATCTGGCATAGCACAAGAGTTACACGCACTGGGGATTTCCATGGAAATCGATGACACCCTCGACGACGTAACTTCGGACGACAGAGAATCGCCGAATAGAATGCCCGTAACTTATCCAGATAAGGGGTTGTAAAACGATGCTGTAGCTATCTGCCAATACGGTCTGCTCACCCTTCTCGCGAGAGGGTAGCTCTGCATCCAGGTTGCGGGTAGATATAGGGAGCAATTTCGCAGAAATTGATGCCATTTGAATATCGCCTGTGCCACGACGCGCGCTTTCAAGATGGCACCGTTCGTATAGGCGTTTACACGATTGTCGGAGATCTCTATCCGTGCGCGCGCGCGCACGCTTCCTCGACAAATACTACCGAGACACATTGGTATTATATGTTTCGTGGATCGTATTTCCATTGCGGGCTGCGCGCGGCACTTCGCGAGGAGATGGAGCGACTAACGTAAACCGGCGTTGTCTGTTCCTCGACATTTGTTTCCCCGTCGATTGCGAGTCAACTCGAAATTAAGACTGGGAGGTAGCGGGAGATTCCGCCGTGATCGATATTATCCGTCGATTTTCTAAATTTTCTAAATTATTACTACACACAAAAAATTACATTAAAATTACATTATAATTATACTAAAAATTTCAAACAATCTTTAATTTAATAAAGTAATTTTTTTATGAAGAGATAGCAAATCAGGACCAGAAAAGTGTTCTTTATAAGTACCGAAAATTATGAATCTAATTTTAGGACACCTTGTATATATATTTATTATGCAATAATTATATAGAATATTACAAACACGATCAACAATCTAAATTGCGAATTGAATCTCCTTCGTACTTGCAAAAAATTGCACGTAAATTAATACGGGATCGCGAAACATTGAAAAACGAAAATTCCCAACGACAAAAACTACTGAATATCTCGCAAAATTCCGCTTCGTGTCATGAACGATGAGATCATTCCAAATTTTTGAGTCGTATATCGCCCATGAAAATATTTCCAGACAGCTTTAATCAGGACGCACCTTTATCCTCATATGTAAGATTATACTCGGTGACTCCCAAATACGTGACGGGGTTACGTCACGTCAGTGTTACCGAAGTCTTGCTTATCAAATGCGCTGACAAAGTCGAAGTATACATATACATACATCCTCCTTGCTGCCCGTCAATGGCGCTTCTTAGCTTGTGCATA